TCCAGTGTAGCGGTCACTAGGTTTCAAAATTATTCGGCCATTTAGAAACTTTGTTGAGATAAGGCTGTATGATCATGTCTATTACAACCATCCGCAATTAATATGCTCCAATCGAAAACTTATTTCAGAATTCCGGCAGCTATTGCATGTGATAGTGAATCTACTGTATTTATATCGGGTTTTTATTGCGGAAATTCATTTCTCACAGCAATGTGTTGACATGCTTGGCTGATTCTATAACCATGACCCAAACAGAGATACGTTAGAAAGAATGCCCAAAGACTCACTACTTACGTAAATGTATTTAAGAAATATCTTATTTTGAAGGTTTTAGTAAAGACATAGAAGATAATCCATATTTATTGCCCATCGACTAAAATCGCTGAAAATCGTAAAGTTTTGAGCATCTTTTCGAGACAAATCTGAAATTCGTAGTAATCGAAATCCCGAAATAATTGCAAAGAAATGTGCCGGAAGGAAATATCTCCTAGTGTACACGAAATGGTACGTTTACGATTGCCCCTGACAATTCCATTTAAATTTATTTTTCACGGACCGGCATGTCCTGGCGTGAGCTCACGAAATATCCTACTCGCATGAGCTACCAGTCAGCATAAGCAAGCGAAAATCTAGTTGCCTTAGTCCAACATAACTCCAGCAGTTTATAAACGGAAGAAACAACTAGAAATCCTCGTGAAACCGTGTTGGAATACGTACTCGAAATTTAGGCTGTATGGTAACAGCGCTTAATATGGAAGCATACGTATTCGAAAAGTTCACTAAAGGATTATTTTCCAACGTACTTTTAATTAGGTTGCTTTATTCATGCGTTTTTTTGCATGAACAGACTTTGTCTAAATTTAAAACTTAAGTTTGCCTAGTACGCCCGATTTCCACTTTTCTAAAAAAAGCTGGTATTTCTAAACAGTGCAGTATTATTTGATAAACCGCAATGTGCCTATTTTGAAGAATGATCATTACTTTACTGCAGTAAGACTTTGGGGAACGCAATGTGAGTTGTGTTTGTGTAACAGGGATTTTCTTATAAAAAATCCTTGAATTTCATGAGTTTGCCCAGCTACTGTATTATCAGAAACGGAAGTGAGTTCAGGCCCAATCAGTATGCAGTCACACAGTACACAATATTGGGCATATCTCTGTTCAAAAATCTCGAGGATATTACAAGCAGCTGAAGTCCTGATAAATTCAAATCGGATTCCCGAATCACGATAAAATACAATATTTCTTCCAGCCGAAACACCCAGTGATTGTTGTGTTGGGAAGTTCACTTTGGCTTGCAGTTTTAGTACGCTGTCTTTTTAAATCCAGGAGAGACATTTGAAGATACTTTAGTGTATAGAGATTCACTGGCAGATCGGAGCCCACACCCTTTGGTTTCTTTAACCTCTTAATGCGTGATATTTAACGCCAGAAAATTGAAGTATGTGCCTGCAGCGTGTATACGACCTGGTGTCCTCATTGCGTAAAAATCAAATTTATTAAGTGTATTTGAAATATGTACATAAACTAGAAGACATGAACGTCTGAGATAAACAGTGCTTTACAAAACGTTTGTAATGCATGTAACATTAGCGTTTAATCTTTTAGCATGTCAAGGCGTATAGTGCTTTCAGTAACACTTTTATCGTGACTTGTTAACTGAGGTTCCATTGTAAGTTTAGGTTCCAGACAACTTTGGTCCTGTTAAATTAAATAGAAAATAAAATGTTACTAATCGTTGCTAGTAGACATATTTTTGGAATCTTTACACTGTTGAATTTATCCCTTCAACCTACTGTTCAAAAATAGTCGTAAACACTTACTTCCAAAGATGCTGGCATGAATAGAATACCCAAGTCAACGAGTTTAGATATTTGAGCGGCCAAGTAAAAGACAAAATCAGATAACCTTTTACATATAATGTAAAACGCCTTGTGCTCGTCAATCTACTCAGCTCTTTCTTGTATTTGTACATACAGTATTTCGCCTGACGTACTTGTAAAGGAACATTTAAGTTAGCAAGGAGATCCCATGTTTGCTTATTTATTCCTTTGCCATGGATGTATCGTCCGAAAACAGCGCAGCTAGTGTGTGTAAAGAGCTAGGTTAGAGCACTTTTAAATGAAACAAAAGTACTCTTCTTAAATTAAACAAACATTTGCCCAAATCAAAATATATTCCCAGCATATTATCGTAACTAAGAAAACCCCTCTCTCCAGTTTTCCCCGTTTTAAAATATGAATTTTTATAACGGATCACCACTTGCAGTATTTTAAATTATTGCTAAATCTCTTTTCGGCACTATAGGAGTTCGAAGGCCTCAGCGAAAAGGTTTGATTTGATATGGGTGTGATGACTTCTACTTAGAAAAACCAACCCCTTTAAGCGCCTGCCCTTTAGCAGGACGCACAATTTACAAATACCGTCTTCTCATTAACGCCTGACTTTTTAAATATTTCGAATACAGAAACTTTTTCAAGCGATGGAAATATTTTTTACAAGCAAAGGAACTCTATTAACTGCTTCTTAGTTCAGCTGTACGTTTTCAGATATGCTGATCATCTTCCACTTCTTGCCACAACTCAGTCTTTATCCGTGAAACCAATAAAGTTCGGGTTCCAATGGTTGCACCTTCTTCTTCTTCCTCTGAAATGATTTCTATGCTACATCAGTATCCTGCCTCCTTAATCTCACAAAACACCCGAAACTAAGACATTTGCCTCTACCTTTGAAAAGTTCGGGGCCCGAAACGACGAAGCGCCCAGCTAAGGAAGAAGCCACCATTATTGCAACTGTAATTTAGACAATAGAAGAGATAAATGCAAAGAAATCAAAAGTTCCCGTGGTACGCACACAGACCTGACTTCGGGATCACAAGAAACTGACATTATGCAGGCGCGTATAGAAACGGGTAGGCGGCGGCGTTACGTGATTATAGGTATGCGCAAAACGCTATAAGTAAGTTTGGAAAGAAGAGAGCTAGAAGAGAGAGAACAGGGCAAGAACATGCAGCTGAAAAAAAGAGATGGTGAAAGCAGATGCGGTTGTGTGCACATGTGGGCACCCATGATTGGGCTGACAATTATGATTACTATGCTGATGACGGTCCTGCGTAAGAGAGGACGCGTATGTACACGACAGATTGCAGAGGGGCGTTCACTTCCCATAGTAGACTCGGTAGTAGAGCCACTTGGAACGCCAGAGAGAGAAGGAATTGTCAAACTTGAAGACGTAGACACCACAACCAGGATACTGGTGGCTGCCACAGTACACCTCCAAATGGCTATCTCGGCGATAGATGGGGATCAGCTCATCGGTTGGTGGCCCGCCCAGTTCCCGACCTCCGCTCTCCACATCACCGTCGACGGAGCCATCGTCGGCTGAAATACATCGGAAGAGAAACGGCTTAGCGTGAGCGCACACTAAAAAAGTTAATCGCGCGGATGGAAAAGATGTTGGCACGAGAAAATTCTATCGAAAACAACAAAAAACAGCAGGACATGTTGACCGGATTGGAAGGCATATTCCCGGCTTATTAGCTGTCGTCAGCTAGCCATACCCAATCCCAGGCATTGAAAATTTGTTATTCGAGTCCAGATATTTTGGTGGGAGAACGCACTTGCACGATTGTTAATATTCCTCATTGCAACTGACGGGATTCCGAGTCAGTGACCCAAAAGGTAGAGCGCTGAGCGTAAGAAACGCAGTAAACAAATAATAAAAGTTCGAATCATAGGTTACCAAAACCTGTGACCGGCTATGGTTGGCTGGACGAGCACTTTCTTTAATTTGGCCGGTGAATACACTTCCTA